ATTTTCAATCCGTTGTGGGAAAGAAGAAGTGCCGAATCTATTCAAACTATCCAATCCACACACTCAGGCTCATACAAGCTAATAAGCCTGATGTAGTCGTTCTCGACCACCAGAGCAAAACGATATTTGTCGTGGAGTTTTCAGTTCCTGGCGAGACAAATGTCGTTCAAAAAGAGGAGAAAAAACGGATAAAATATCAAGATTTTCTCTTCGGACTCCGCAGATTCTATCCAGACCACTTTTTCAAGATGGTTGTTCTGATTATTGGAGTCCTTGGTGGAATGATGTCCTCTCTACTCTCTAAACTTATAATCATACCGGATTGCCGCACTGAGGCAGAAATCTTAGCCGAACTGATGCAGAAGGCTGTCATTCTTGGCTCACTGCGCTTGTTCAGGGCACATAATTCTCGGACCCAATGATCACGCGCCCTCTCGATTGTATTGGGGCTTCGGGAAACAGGGCATGACCAGCGCATACTATCGGAAATAATTATAATAACAATTTTTTTTTCAAATAATAGAATTAATACAATCAATAAATATATAATATTGAACATGTAGACTCACAGAGGCAAGGGACTGCTTGTGCGTGAGTAAGTCGAAGTGAGTAAATATTTAGTAAGCATAATATAGGTAGAACATATAGTAAATAGTAGAATAGATGAACATATTGACAACACTTATAATTGAAATATATGCAGTGAAAGCGAAAATAAAGACAACATTTATGATTATAATAATCATACCGTCAAAGTGAAAAGTTACATTCGAGAAATTTGTGTCATAGTTGGGTTATTTTGTCGAAAGTGGGAACTTCAATATTCAATTTGAGTATTGAATAAGAAAGAATTTTTGAATATTCCATTTGGGGCGCCAGTCGCAGGGGAAAAAGCGCGCTTATAAAACAAAATTATCTTTTCATTACTCTTCCTCCATGCCCTCAAATTTCCAGTTGGGGAAGTTATATTCAGTATCAGCATTGCACCCGTGCGGAAGGTCGCTAGTTCTTCTATAATTATGAACGCAGAATAGGTATACCTACTTAAATTGAAAAGGTATATTTTTGGGAGAGAATAATTGTTTTGGAAAGAGAAGTTGTGGCTTTCTACTTCCCTATCTCATAAAAAAAGTGTGTGAATCTTCATTTGAAAGATTGACACATCTTTTGTGTTTGTAGAAAGCCAAAACCTTCATCTACAGGCGTCACATTTTTGATTCTACAGTTTCGCCTGTGGCGCTAAACACGCGTTGAGATTTTGTGAACTTTCAAGTGGAAATCTTATATAATAATCATGAGTATGATACAAAATAAAAATTAACATACTCTTTAAAAAATGAAGTGAAGAAAACGATATCTCGAAAAAATCACATGTTTATGAATGGATAATAGGGACTTCACGAATTTTCTTCCACGATATAATGTATTTCAATAAATCATGATAAACATTTCATGAACTTCATTTCTGAATAATTTTATTTAATTCATATACTGTTATTAAGCACATATTTCAAATTTATTTATTGCTTAATTTTTTTTCACATATGTTCATATAATTTGTATATGAATATACCGGGTGTCCCACATTTTATGTGACAGGCAATATCTGGTTTGTTGAAGGAGATACACAAAAATGTTTCATACAAAAGTTTTAGGAGTTCATGAGAGCTATATTTTGATATAATTTTTAAATATACAGGGTGTTTGGTGTAGGTGCTACAGACCAAAATTCCATTTTTTAAAATAGAACGCCCTGTATATCATTACATATTCAGATGCTACGTTAA